ACGAAGAAAAAAATCATCATAATTGGTATAGCCGTTTAGGATAGCAAGAATTACGAACAACCTGAACTTTTTTATATAAAGACTAGGCGTGCAACATATTATTATTCTTAATAAACAAAATATCAAAAAAAAAATACTTACCCTGATCAAAATTTGGTGGTCGACGTACAATTTCTGGAAATGTTTACGTAAAACAAAACACGGGAGCGCCTACGATGCAAAGTGATACGTCCTCACTCTTGGAAGGCGCGATCGTCACTGATCGGATCGATTTTGCGAGGTCGATAATATAGTTCACTGCCATTTAGTAATAAACGAAATTATTATTTATTTATGAAATAAAATTTAGTTTCCAATAAAGGGTTATCTTAAGATTAATGTGTAATTTTTTGAATTAATTAAAAGTGTTTCTATGTAAAGTAAAGTGTGCCACTTTAGCGACTTTGTCGCTAAATCTAACGACTTTTTTTGTTAATTTTGGGAGTTTAATTCAATGTTTAGCGGCAAAAAATACTCTGGTGACTTAGCGACAATCGTACAATCTGTGCCTACTTACTTCAATTTTTGTTACCATCTGACAACTTCAGGCATAAAGAATATACTCTATCCATTAACGAAATTATAAAATGTAAAGGAACCGAAACTAAAGTTCTTTGGATGTCGCTTTTACAAACACATAAAAACATCACAACGATATTCCTAATGGAAAAATGTTATGTGATTTATTTGTTTGTACAAAACTATGAAAGAAATACTTATTTCGAACGAAGTTTTCTGGAAATTACGTTTTTCAACAATTTTTTTCTGCTATATTTGGATAGAAATAAAAAAAGCTACAACTTAAAAGGCTGCAAACAAGTAGACCGTATATTTATATTTTTTAATGTTTGAAATATATTGTAGTTTTGTTGTAAAACGAAGACAAAAATCATTTGATCGTTACTTTTCGGAAAAAGGGTTGTGAATATTGGTGATTTGCCATTATTGTACAGATAATATGACACATCCCTTCGAGCCAGATATTAGATTAAGAACAAAACTATTATAATAAAAATTAAAAAAAAGTTAAAATTCGTTTTCCTGTTGACACAAACAGTGATCAGATTTGTCCGAAATGAGTTGATTTCGCGCACTGGGCCTTAAGAATCAAAATGCAGGTGCGTTGTCACCCTTGAGGACTAAGATGGAAAGCCTATTATATAAATAAGCCTAATACATTAAAAAGGGTCTCCGGTTCTGCGGCTGCTGCTACTTTCGAGAACATGTGAACTCTGCCAGCACGCATTAAGACAGCGCGACGAGGTAGTCACTTTAAATTCTCTCAGAAATGAGAGAAGGCGTGTGCTCGGCTATAGGGCGTGTATAGGCTGAATGATATACTGTGTTCTCGTGACCCCTTTTTAATGTTACATTAATGTTTTCTCTGCTTATTTCAATTTGATACTCTCCGTGAAACCTGACATTTTCACTATAATAGGACCTTGCCTGTTGAATCTGATATGTTCCTAGGGCAAATAAAGATATTCTAGACGCGGGAATATAATATTAGTATTGGAATGAGCTGTAATACTAGTAAAATCAGATGTTCGTCTATTCATATTCATACTATTTATAAAATCAGATAAATTATTATTTAATGGAAATCGTTCTCTAATCACATTTATGATTTGCCCAGCATCATTCCTGTTTTTAAACGACCACTGAATTTATTTAAAAGGCTTGCAGCTATGGAAAACATATGCATCATATGTGGAACAGTTTTACCAAAAAAATCTTGCCGGAATATTTTAAAGTCTCGTTTGAAGTACTCGTTAACAACTTTCACCACTCATCGGCATATGGTCACACAACGACTCCTGTTAGCTTGCTCAGTGGTGAGCTGATGCTCACCCTCAAGCAGGGATTCCGGCATATATGTTCTGTAGCTGCAAGCCTCTAACAAACTAATTGAATCTCTAAATCTTCTGTCTATATAATAAAAACATCGTTATTTTGAAAATATTGTCTGAAAGGAGAGTTTTCATCTCTGAAAAGAGACTTCATTATATCTGCATCAGTTGTGGTAGCTTTGTATGGGCCAAAGCAGTCTACAATATAGCCATCAGGTGTCACCAGCAAAAATGGTTATAACAAGTTTTTGTATTTATGTAAGGAATATGTGTCCTTTTGGAACATTTAATTGGAACTTTTGTTTACAAAAATATATGTCCCATCACATACAATTATCGAATTTTCATTATTTTTGAACTATAAATTGCATTTGGAATCATTAAATTGTGTTTCAACAATTGCTCACGCGATATAGGTTCAATTCCCAGATTTCTAGGCACAAAATCTTGTACCAATATTTCCCTAACCTTATCCATAAATTTTTCTAATGTTCGCCTTGGAGCCATTAATAACTGAGATAACCGGTCATCTGATTCACCAGTTCTCATCTTCATTAGAAGAGCACCTAAATCCTCTGAAGGCCTCTAAGCATCCGCAAAAAATGCCTCTATTTGTTTCTATAAGACACGGCGTTTGATATAATAAAAGTTCAAATTGTTCATTCTGAGCCAATAATGAAACAAATGCTCGTCAATTCTTTCAACACTTTCCATACTCGAGAAATCAAGAAATGTGTTGAAAGCATTTATAAAAGAAAGAGCATGTTCCACTTGTTCAGCCGTAATTGTTCTCAAACTATTTTGAGAATTGAACAACATATTCCAGTTCTACACAAATACGAGCATTTATAGGCAAGTAAAATTTGTGTTTGCTAAGAGTTGTTGCTCTTAGAGGGTCGAAATTCTATTCAAATCTGTGTACTGGCAACCAGAAAAAACACAATGTGCTGCAGTGTTTGCCGCTCGTCTATACTGCGGCAAACTAATCACCCTAGGTACTATGTCATCTTGCTGGTCGGTATTTGGAGGGCTTTGACGTTCTTGGGCTTGAGGCTCTGGCTCTGTTTGCTGCATATTTTGTGTTGCAACTCTCTTGACTCTCAGCCAACAAGGATGACAAACATGGTCTGTTGAAGTTGCCTAAAACAACCATACAGCCTTGTCTTACTATAAATGTTTTGACTCATTATTATTAAACCTGAGCAAATAGAAACATTCTTACAAAACAATATAAAATTGCAGTGATAAATTCACTATAACTTAGATACCAAGAGAAAACAAAAAAAAGTACAAAATAAAAAAGGTAATTATTATCTGCCGTGGGGCAATTCCATTTTCAAGCTCAACATGTATTGCTTGTTGCAACTGAGATGGATTCTCTCTCACAACAAGGTCACGTTTACGATTCCTCAGAGAACTTCCACAAAGTATGCAAACATGCTTGTGGCCACGTGAAGATGAGGCACCAGGTTCATTAGGAGTTGACATGCTGTTTTGCCAATTGCTGACAGGCATCACATACGTAATCTTCTTCAGTGATCTAAAATAAGAATTAGAGTTGTATTATGATGTATGATTGATTAGAGTTGTATTGTGATGATGTATTATGTTAGTGTGATAAAATAGGTAGATCTTAGAAATAACTCTGGTATCAAGCTCTAAAACAAGATGGCGGCGAAGTGTATCTATGCATATGTTACAATTAACACATAGCAATAGCAGTGTAGTTTGCACGATGTCTCTCACAATTATCCAAGATGTGAAAGATCAGTCCGTAAAACGATACCGAGGTCAAAACAATAGAAGGAAATAACAATATTACAATACTGACGCGGAATGATGACCACAGATTAAGCGATGACATATAACGTTCCGTTGTACATATGTAATTGAACAAAACGTTTAGCTTACTTATGACCTACATAATTATTTTTATGACAGAAATCCAGTACATAATAAATCACATACTAAATGAATTGAATTAAAATTAGCAACTATTCATAAAAACGTGAATAATTATAGGTTTTGAATATCAAGTCCTTTCACACACGAAATGAAGTGTGTTTTAAGACCTTAAACATAAGGGTAAGGGTAATTTACATAAATATTTCATATTGGGACGCTATCATTCCGTTCTCTGGTAAGATTTGGCCATCCTCCTTTGCCACCGTTACATCTCCATTACCATAAACATATTTCAAAATTACTTACTACCAAAAAATATTGCTTATAAAAGTCTTAATCGTTTAAAATGCTAGATGGTGCTATAGGTAGCTAGGTAGTTATAGTAGTGTAGTATACCCTATCGGTATATCAACGCGATCGCGCGGTTTCGGTGAGAAAAAGCGGAGCGTACTGAATTGAACGGCGTCTGCGCGTGATGATTTATAGTATTTTTAAAATAATTATATAAAATAATTGACAAAATAAAACGAGCTACAACTTTTATTATATTCAACATTACATGTATTTTTATAAAATAATTAAAATAGATATGTTTATAACCAAATACACGGTAAAAATTACATTGAAGTAGACAGTTTTGGTGATTTTATAATATTAAATCGAAATATTTTCGTAAGTTAGGGTTTGCTATACACTAAAAGACTATATTATATTCCATTATAATAACGCTTATAATAAAATATTTTAGCTTATAATAATGGTTGTATTCAACCTGAAAGATAACTCTGACGCATATTTTCGTAAAACGCTGTGAAGGGATTGTCTTCGCTCTAAAAAACCGTCATCAAGACTATGATTTTGCGTTGCAGTGCACTAAATAAAGACTTCATCTTTCTAAAACCCTAATTTTCTGCGAATAATCTCCTCACATCGTTACGATATCGCCCTTGGAAAAACCCTAAAACACGTAGTTTTCGACGCGAAACGCATATGCCCCCTTAATACATAAAAAAAATATTCCGACGAGAACATTCTCCTTAATTTTTTAAGTCGGTCGAAAAACTACTTAATCTAAGTCAACGATATGTTAGTCCGGTCTTAGTTTTAATTCTAACTAAATAATATCTCGACAAATTCCTTTTCCGCGTAGTCGTTAGCATGTATATCCATACTAGATTTACATGAATACTCATACTTCGCCGACAGGCTCGCCCGTGGCCAGTTGAGGACCAAGATAGAGTCCGGGGAGGGCACAATCCCCACAAAGAATTGCAACAACATCATCCAGACCTGGGACGGAATTTTGCAGGTGAGCTCAATGTTGCAAGCTTTATATGTTTTAATAGCTTAAGGGTGGGTAGATGGAATTCCCGGTCTTAAATAATTGATATTTAGACTAGCAAGATATTTTTATTTTACTATACAGATCTCGAGCTAAATAGTTAAGAAGGTGGTTTTTATCAATTTTTTTATTTTTTATTTATTTAAGAGCCCTCTTACATTTTGGCGCTAGTCAAATTTAGCTATTTTACCCATCGAACGGGCGACGAACTACGCGAGCGATAGTTCCTTTCATGTCTATCCACACGCTGGCACTACGATACTGTGAGTATAGTGTACATTACAAGTACAAGTTTTCTTAGGATGGAGTTCAGTGGATCGAACATTTTGGTGTGTCATTTTTATCTTATCTAATTAATTTATTATGAACTATTTTATATATTTTTTGTTATTTATGAACCTTAGTATTGAAATAAGTACACATAAATATTTTAATTGTTTTGGAGTAATCGGTTGTTAACCAATATTGGTTAATAATCGATTATATCTACTAACGGTAGTATAGTGGTATAAATAAATAAATAGTACGGTTGAAACCTGTTTAATATAACATGATAAGTATGAAAACCAATTATAACTTTTTTTCATATTGGTACTTAAAGTCAATTACCATATTTTTTATTATAAATTTTTTTGGCAACGGCATTGACCGAGCTTATCTCGAGTCGATAGTTTCAGGCAGTACACACTTTTCATAAAACGCTTGTAACTTGGGTAACATATTCAAAATCCAAAATTGGTTGTCTTTGTAGATTTTAAGTACTTTTATTGCATAATCTGGGCCAGTCCATACAGCAAGCATGCATACATTTTTATTCTCCATTATTATTTCTCCAGAGATAGGATATTTCTTTTTTTTTCTTTTGCAGTTGCAGATGATATAATGGTGTCGGTGACAGTATATTGTTAACGGTATCGACCGATGTAAAAACGCTTTGAAGATTAGTATGGAATGCCTCGTGACCATTAACAGGGCCTCCGGTTCTCGTGATTAACCGTACAAAGTGTATTATGGTGTTGTTTCGAACGGGTGTGGTACCCCGAGCCAGATGTGGGTAAAGTGTTTGTGTTGTGGCAGGGCGAGCGGCTGCTGACGATGTCGTGCTCGGACAAGATAGCGCGCTGGTGCGTGGTGGGGCTGCAGGGCGCGCTGCTGACGCGCCTGCTGCGCCCCGTCTACCTGCACACGCTGGTGCTGGGCTCGCTGCTGCATCCGCAACATCTCTACAGGTACCCACTACTAACTACACGCTTCCTAAAAACAAATCCACGTGTTGACTTCTCAAATCGTCACCGTTACAGCTTATTAAAGTCCACTGCTAAACATAGATTGCCTCATAGCTGGGATATTTGCTATAGTAAGTTCCCAAGCGGGTTTGCAACCGCACTATTTTTATCTTTAATCGTTATTAGTAGAGATGGGCCGGGCCGCATACAGATTTCACCGAATAAGAATATTCGACTGAAAGTAAACTTAAACTTTTACAGACCCGAATATTCGGCCGAACATTATTGGGCAGGATCACCTCGGTACCTAACCAATTTATGTCGAAACTTGTTGCCGTAACGCGCGAGATTAGCGCCGAACCCTGCCCCTCGCTCCCCCGCCACACCTGACATGTTATTGCATCACTAGTACTGAGCAAATTGCGGGCACATAATGATTTCTTAAATTAATTTTATTCAATGGCTTCACATGCTTTTTTGACTGTTTTTTGGGGAAAAAATATTTCGTTGTGTTATTCTTAGTGAAAATTGATAATTATATGATAAAAATGAGTGGCAGGTGATGTATATTTGGACTTATTTTAGAGAAACTGACGACCAAAGTAAAGTGAAATGTACTAATGTAATGTAATGTTTCTTTGCTTGATTCAAAAAACATTTTATCAAGCTTTCTATTTGCTGTAATTGGAAATAACACTACAGTGTCTCAAAAACATAACGTTATATAAGTAGATTTAATCCGTAAATAAAATAAACTTTCAGCAGTAAAATTATGAAAGATACGACATTACTCAATTCGTATTTCAATACAATGTATACTTTGAGTAATACTTTAACGAATGTTTTGTGATCTAGCCGCATATAATTATTATGCTTAGAACCGCAGCAGGCACACGCAAAGTGAAGCCGTTTCAAGTTAGCCTTTTAAGGCCACTACGACATTCAGCGTGTCAGTACTCGAGTCCACGTAGTCGTGTATAGAGCTCGCGCAATTTTGCAAATAACAACTTACTGTGCTTTGATAGGATGTCACAACTCATCACATAATCATGAATAAATCTAAAAAAAATTTGTAAGAAAACATTCTTCATAACAAAATAATAAATTTTAAAATTGACAGACGCCAATATAATGAAAATGTTGCTAGGCATAGTAAAATATTTTACCCCATATTTTCTTATTATTTTAATTACATACTGCCAATATGGGACTATTATTGTTGTATTTTTATTTGACAAATAAAAACACCTACAATATTCACGCATGAGTAGGTATTTTTAATTGCCAAATACTGTTAGGGTTCCCACTTGCCAAGAAAAAAATGTGTTGATTTTATTTTGTTTTGTTAATGTGCAGTTATTTTTACCTTTTTTATAGTATGTGTTTTAGGATAAATAACTTACCCTATGAATATTTTTTTAAATTCTAATACTGATTTACATATCTTTAACATTTCCTAAAAAGACGATAAGTTTGGCCAAAATAGCACAAAAATATTTATTTTGTTTTAATGAAGTGAAGTTGATAATAACATGAATGTTATCGCAAATTCAAATGTATTCGTTTTTAGATTTTCGTCTGGTCCGACTGTTGCTGCTCAACACAGACCACCCAGCCTGCGATACATGAAACCATTACGATTTTCTAATTAAATGAGTCTGTCAAGGTTAGAAGAATGAAAGGTGTGCTGGCGGCGCGTGAGATGTAACTTAGAGATGTGTCACATCCATAAACCGTACGCGTAAATATAGGGAACTATGAAAACGTAACGTACTTATAAACAAATGTATGATGCGTAAAATACACCGTTTAAAACATGTAAAGTTCTTTAAAATATATACAAGTATTTTACATGTCATTTACAGCGCTAATTGTTTACCATAAATCCGTTAAGAGCGGAATGCGCCTAAGAAATACACAAACATAATACATACCCTCGAAAAACCATGACTTTGCTTTAGCCTCGAACGCGACAGTCACGTGAAAATATCTACATTAGGTAAAATTAACGTAATATAAAAATGTAAACCAAAATTACCTTTATCTTTTATTGATTAATTATGGTTTATTATATATTAAACTGTAATTTAGATTTCAAATTTTAATTACATATAGATACACAAATATAATAGAATTACTGTTCGTCTACACTAAAAATAATAACACAATAAATAGTCGATAAACTTGCATCGATACTTTATTGGGCATTTCCACTTACACGTGCCGCCTGCAGCCACTCTGATTAATAGACAGAGACGCTACTATGATACTGCGTGCTTGACAAGGACAGCCTCAGAACTACGACCAGAACACGTTGAACCCTCACGGTTTAGTATTTTAAGATGATTAAATGTTGCACTTACCGGTGAAATCTGACTTTATCCTTCTTGAAATTATGTTTCCTGCTATCACTACCACACGATTTTACTGCGCAAGTAGACATGTTGTACTGTTTTAATTTTAAAAAGTTGTATCGCTAAGTACGCAGTGCACAGGTCTGTTGTCTGGTCATTAATAAACAGGATAGCGTTCGTGTTCAACTATATATTATGCTCTGTTTGAGCAGATAAAGTACAGAAATTTGTCGCCTTTCGTTACATGTCTCGTAGGCTAGGTGGTCTGTGCTGCTCAATGATTTGAAAATTTAATCGCAAAAAAAAAACTATAGTCAACCAAATCTAAGAAATACCTTTTGACGTTTCACATTAATCATTCCGCAATAACTTGCACAAGCGTACTTACACGATTTGAAATAACCTTTTACGTAAATCCGAAGAATAAATAATGAAGTTACAAAGTGTATAGTTTTTTTATCACTAATTTAAATTTGAATCTTTCAAAGAAAGCAAAATATTAAAAAAAATAACCAGTATCAACTTTTTTACCTAACGTCGTTTCAATGATATGTCGCTATGGACCTTACCGTAATGTTTGGTTGATTAAAATTCATTGTTATGCGAATAATCGGCAAATATATTCAAAAATTCGATAAAATTATTCAAATAATTGAATCATTATTTTTTAATGTATTATTTGTTTAATTAAATTTTTATTTTTAAAATTCCTTAAATTACGTAAGTCATGAACAAGTTCTTTTTTTTACTTTGTCAACGTAAATTTGTGTAGGCAAAATAACTCGTATTCCCGATCTTAAATAATTGAATTCACATCTATCCTCTATTACAAATCAAAATGCAGATGCGTTGTCACCCGTGAGGACTAAGATCATTTTCTCGTTTCCAGTAAAAAAGGGTCTCCGGTTCTCTATACCCACCATACAAAACACAGCAGCATTAAGCTACTATTTGACGCTGGTATTCTGTGAGAGCGTGGTCCTTCCCCGGTCGAGCCGACCCATCCATGCTACAACTATACTTCTAATATAACTACAGCATGGCTCTACCACATATAACACACATACGTAGTAATTGTAATCACAAAAGACATACTCGCAATGCTGATGGAACGGTGAGTCCATTGGAATTGTTACAACCAGGTAAAAAACATTGATTTGGTGTTAGTGGTGCTTTTAAATAATTAGTTAGCAGTACACTGTGTGATGTATGACCTAAGCTTTGTTGTTCTGGGTGCAATACATTACTCACTTCAGATTGCAACGAGGACGGACTGGATGATTCAGATGGTTCCCGTTCTGCAGTTGAACGAGATGCTGTTCTGTCAGTTCATTGCCAGCAATTATGATACACGCGGCATGACAACGGCAACTGAAATAATGTAAAATACAAAAAAATGAAGTCAAAGTGAAAAAAAAATAGATTTGTTTATTTTAAACTCAAATATGAATAAAATATTTATCAAGTTAAATGTTACTGCACAAGGATGGACTTAATGCCCTATATTATTTAATAATTAAGGCCTGACTGACAACGATGTATATATGAATAATATTTACGCATAATATATACGCGTAATATATACACATAATAATGCATTATAAATATTTAATTATACTTGCGATGTCATACGCAGAAACAAATAACTTTTAACTACCATTCTTTACAAGTGAAACTTTGTTGCGTAACTAGCGAACCACCCCCGGCTTTGTCTGGGTAGGATAGATTTGAGATACGAGTAATCATCAAAGACCGATTTAAAACAAATCTTAGATAAAATATATACTAGCTCATATCTGGCTTTGCTCTTTATCAGTTCTAAAAGTTTCAATACAATCTTTTTTAAGCCTTGATAAATGAATGGTCTTGAAAAAAATATTGTTAATAAAATATTTTTGATTTTTGATTTTTTTTATTATTAGAAAGGCGCTGCTCGCCTGGTTAGATCATTCAAGTCTAGGAAATTTATCAATGAAAATTAAATTTATATGCCATATCTAGTGCGTAGTACTACGCACTAGATATGGCATTCCGAACACTCACTATGTTCAACTGAACTGTACTGCAATCCTTACACCAATTATTGTGGCTTCGATTTTGATATTCATGCAATGCGGAGTGGTGCTAATAATAATTTTATATTAAATTAGCACATAGAAAATAAGATTGTCGATAACAATACAATCTAAATAAACAATTATTTATTACGACAATTTTCGCGCGTTTATATCAACTGCGTATGCGCGACATGCGCATGTTCCCCGCGCATGTGCGGATACGGAGTAGTGCACATTTTTTGTTTGGAATAGCTTCTCTAGTACGTAGTACATATAACTAAATGTTGATACGCATTTTTTGGATGAGAATTTAATGACTAATTAACAGAAATAGAAACGGAAACTTTTTTTATTCAATATAGATGGTAAAAATACTTATTGAAAGTCACTTTTTTAATTTACTTCCTTCTTCCTGGGAAGAACCAGCAAGAAACTCAGCGGGATTAATTTATTTCTTCAAATAATAGCTTACAATCATGTACGTTACAATTAATAACACAAAACAAATTAAAAATAGCTTGGTAGCGATCACCCTTCCCAGGGGTTATTATCATCCAACCATAAAATCCTTAATTATAATAACAGCATTGTT